TTGCCGCAAGCCCGCCGGACGCTCCTTCGTCGAATCCGCCGGCCGCGCCGTTCTCAAGCCCGCTGGCTGTTCCTCACTCAGCCCGCCGGCCTCCGCTCACTCAAGCCCGCCACCGCTCACTCAAGCCCGCCGTGTGTGACGCTGTGTGTTTCTTTTTCTTTTTTTTTTGAGCCCCTCTCTCACATTTTTTTTTAGAATAGCTGACATTTTTACTTATCGAAGATTGTTCTTTGCGTGACCATTTCCAGATTATGCCAGAACGAAGTGAAGAGTGGAGGTGAATGCGGACATCAGGCGTTCAAAAGTCAAATACAGAATAAATACATTTGATTGGTAAACCAAATTCAAACGTGATGTCTCACTATCTAATGGTAATACATGGAATTTACGGCAAAGCTCCACTAAATAATAGCGCTAATAAGTGGGGGCTTGCTGGAGCTTTGGCAATTGGCGTTTCAGTCAATCTACTCCACAGCCAATCACGGGCCCCCTCGTTGCTCGGGCCCTGGGGCTTCAGCCCCACCTAGCCCTATTGTTAATCCGGCCCTGCATACAACTATTTTTTTGAGTCTGGGCAAATTTCAGCTTTGTTGTGCAGTGCAGTGGGTAAGGAGAGCCACTTAAACTCCCCCAACTGGCAATCGGATGGTTGGATGAATTTCTGACATGCTTTACAACTTTTTTCATTGTTTATTTAGTAGGCGAAGTCTTTATCTTTAAAGCACACATTACATATTAACAGGTGTGCTGTAGCTCTGCCTTACAGGAACCTAGAGACAGATGTTGAAGTAGTGCACTGTTTCTGTACTAATGCCTTCTTAACCCTGATCAGTTACTGGATTAGAACTTGAACCTGTCCCATAGACACATATAGCAAGTCCATTGCCAATAATGCTTTACATCCATGTACAACAAAAAATATGTAGCCTATGAGCTCTTACTTATATATGAATTGGCAACACCAAACAATGTAGTTTCTTTTCAATGTCAATTATCTATAGCCTCGTAAGATTACAACACAAAGATTCAATGTAATAACAGAGCTTTATTATTTTCTAAGGTAAGGTATTTTCTGTCATCATCCTTTTCATTAACAAAGTCGAAATACATGGATCTATAGCACACCTGTACATAAAATGTATTCTTTTTTTGTGGTTTATATTTATGCATGTGTATTTTATTCACATCTCATTTTTATTATCTGTGTGTTGTTGTTGTCTCCGTGTACTGGAAGCTTGTGACACTATAACAAATTCCTTGTATGTGCAAACATACTTGGCAATAAAGCTCTTTCTGATTCTGATTCTGAAATAACATTTATAAAGTATCTATTTTGATAGTTACTCATCTACTATTTTCCTGGATAATTTGGGTCCTTTACTCAAGTAGCCTAACTGAATGCGTGTACTCTTACTTATTAACTCATCCAAGCACAAGGCATAACTTTTATTCCCTACAATTTCGTTTAGACCTTTATTGTACATTTCGACCTCACATATTTCTTAGATCATCGTGACGTAAACATCTTTTTATTGAAAAAATATATATATGTGAGATTGTGTGTATTTGGGTCCATTACTCAAGCACTGCTTAAACTGAATGCTTGTGCTCTTACTTAATTAACTCATCCAAGCACAAGGCATACATTTTCTTCCCACAATTTCGTTTAGACCTTTTGTACATTTAGACCGCACATATTTCTTAGGTCATCGTGACGTCTTTTTATTTAAAAATAATATACAGTATATGTGAGTGTTTGGGCGTGTTTCATTGTGACTTAAACGTGATTTATATGTATATATATATATATATA